CCTGGGCCTCTGGGGAGAAGAGGCTGTGCATTCATGACTGAGTCAGCCATAGAAACATGGCTATCTATGAGCAGATTGAAGGGGGGAGGGTGTAGCAGAAGGGATACGAGAGGGATCAGCAGCAGGGCTGTACGAAAGCAAAGGAGCAGCAGGCATGCCAGAAGGCCAAGGAGGCCAACAGTCTCCCCAGCGCTGATCAACAGATTTGCCACGTTTACAACAAACCATGTGACTTACTTGGAAGAAACCACACCAGAGTCTTGCATGCTGCCAGAGAGCCTGAGTCCTTGGCCCCTGGGTTGAACAGTGAGGAGGAGGACAGAGAACATGCCATTGGTGGCAGGGAGACTGAGCCATGCTGTGAGCCAGGACCTTTTTGAGACTCCACACTCTAGACCATGATGGCAGTCAGGCACAGATGAATCTGATACTAGGAAAAGAACCTTGGGTAAGTATGTAAGTGTATTTCTCATTTCAGAAATGGTGCCCCCAATTTATCTGGACATGACTATCAACTTTCCTTTAATTCATGGAGGGGGAACCTCAGCCCAGGGGCCAGATGTAGATCCAGCTTGTCCGGATCTGGTTCCTGAGGCTCCCCACCCCACCCAGCACTGTGGAACCAGCACTGGTGCTCCAGCCCCCGTCTTCCTGAAATTTAAAATGGGATAGCCCAAAGCATGGGCCAGCTCAGAGTATGGCTTTTTTTGGCTTTTTTGGGGGGGGGTGTTTTTTTTGTGGGGGGGGGGTTGCTTCTTTTTCTTGTGTGTGGGCCTCAGACTGATTTTTTTTTCTATGGGTCAGCCGCCCCCAACCCAAAAAAGGTTCCACACCCCTGAATTTATCTGTACTAGAAGAGCTGGTGATGTAACAGGTAACATCTACTTTTCATTCCCTTGTGGAGATAGGCAGGGGACTCCTTATGGAGCATTTTATGTACATAAGGTTGACCCCTTGAAGTCTTCCAAGAGATTCCTAGGGATGACATCCTAATTTCTTCCTCTGAAGTAGGACTCTTTAAGATGCCAGTCAGCAATCACTTTGGCAGGGACCATTTCATTGAACATTTTGTTAGCAGCATATGGGGGACAGGAAGCTTTGGAAGGCGAGCAACAATTGTGAGATCAGCCAAAATCGTTTCCGCTTGTGGAAAGTGGAGACAGGCTTCAGTGCCACTGCCATATATTTTTATGCAAGTGAACAATTTGTACCTTGTCTCCCTCACCCCTGGCAGGCCAAATGCCCCATGTGTAACCTGCCAGCCAGTTTGGGGCACCACTGGGAGGGCTAAAAGAGAAAAAACTGCTCAGGACCAGGGCGACTTACTATCCAAGACTGGAGACCTCTTCCTATAAGGCACCAAACCAGTCACATACCACACCACACTTCAGCTGCCACTCTGACCAGCAAGAAGTTGCACAAGCAAATCCCCACAGACATTCCAGCTTTACCTGTGCCACAACCTGCACCACACCTTGCAAAGGTGGGAGGTTATAAAAACGAATCTCCTCAACACCAAACAGGCTCTTCGGGTGCCAAAGGACCAGCCACAGTCCCACGTCAATGTATATGTCAGATCTGACCCAAAAGAGCATGCGGTGCCAGTGCTTTATAAAAATAAAATGGGTTATTAATGAAAGAGAGAAAAGGTTGAGAATAGCACTTATAAAGGAAGCACATGACATACATCAATCACAGAGTTCTTGAAGCAGGCTCTTAGCTGAGATGTAATAAACTGCTCGCTTAAAAGTCTCTGAGGTACATCCGATGTTAGAATGAGTCAACAAATCCTTCCGAGCCATCTGTCCATAGCAAGGATGCTTCTGAAGTCGAGAGCAGGATTGAAGACAAAGATGGAGGAACTCTCATGATCCTTTTATAACCTTGTCCATGCAGAGGGAATTCCATTCATCTCCTGAGTGATGGTATTTCCCAAAATGGAGACGATCACATAATCAACTAACCTGCCCATGTTCTTCCAGCAAGCAGTCATAGTCTACCCACTGGTCTGCAGATCCCAGTGGAATTCCCCAGATGTTTATTGGAAACACTTAAGAGCCATTGTCCATGCAGCATTGAGTAACCAACCCCTCATAATAGGTGGTTGATGCCTACTTCTGTCTCCCAGACAGAAAACATTTAAAATACAAGTACAGAGACCATATTCATAACTTTACATACAAAAATCTTACATGCATACAACTAGCATAGATAGAATCAGCACATCATAAGCTTTTATTAGATGCCCCATGTTGCACAGAATTTGGGGCAAACACACAACGGGGGGGCAACAATGATCTGCATTTTCCTATTAAAACCCAATCACATGACACCATGACTGGTGCTGTGAGTGGGGTTGTGCACAAGCACTCTGACATGCCAGTAAGCAAGCCTTGTTTAAAACTTTAGGAGAGCCGAGGGAGTACTGAACATTAATTTTTAATTTCTTTTGCACTGTGGTCCATATAGTCACCTCCATCATTTTATCTGCAGCTGCTTGAGGGTCTCGTAGACCAGGAGGAGAAAGAAGAGAAACTTGGGATGACCTGTTCGGTGAGATCTGGGAAGCCAGAGCTGCACAGACCATGAACAGAGGCCCTGGAGGATGAATATTGCAGACTCTAGGGAGAGGAAAGGAGAGAACAGGAGACAGGTCCAGGAACTGGAGAAATTGGTGCACTAGGACATAATGGAGCTTCTCCAACTGCAGACATAGATGCTGCAGACACTTCGGTTCACAACCTGAGCTCATCTCCCTTGGCAGTCCATGGCAACAATTTTCTATATTCCCACTCAGCATTCCACGTGACATCAGGGATACATCCCTACCTCTCCACGCTGGGCAGCATCTCAGACAACTGCAACTTCAGCTATGGTTGCTGTATGTCTAGCTACTGTGGACACGAATGTGCCATCCTTTTCATGCTCTGTTCCACAAACTTATTTAGGTGTTAATGTATTTGCTTTTTACTTTCAGATTTTTTTTTCTGAAGTGTTCTTGTTACTCAATAAAACTATGATTTAGAAAATAATTTTTCTTTACCAATTCCAGGGAAAAATGGCTGACAACACTTAAAACACCCAATTACTCATGATTAGGGAAGATTAAAATGGTTAAAAGATAGTGCTTAAACAGTTAACTCTTTTAACATTGGTTCTTCTACATAGCCACACTATGGCCAGGACTGTTCCCACCCAGCACAGCTGCCCATGGAAGGAGTTAACAGCCCTTCTTGTAATTGTGCCACTACAGTTTGGGAACCTCATTGCTGAAAATCCATTTTGTCCAGATTTTCCAACTCTCATAAGATTTCTTATGTCAACAATCCAGCATTGCAAATTACCACAATGCAGTTGCCACTTAGTTCTCCATTATCAGTGCAGTTCTCATTTTGCACATCATCCCAATTCTTCATTATGATGCAATTCTATTGGGCAGGGCTCATTTGTCAGGCTCAGAAGTGGTGGTCTGTCATTTGCAGATGTTCCATAAATCTTGAATTAATTCTTGCTGTGTCCTACAGTGTTCCCTCTAATCTTTTCTATCCATGTGAAGGTTTTTTTATCCATGTGCGAAATAAATTTTATGTGCATCGAGATGTGTGAATGTGAACAACAAATCTATCTGTGGGTGCTCTGCTAATCAACTGGGTGGCATTTGAATCTCTCCTGAGTAGATGGACAAGTGCCTCGCTTACAGGGAACACTGGTCCTACAGCAATCTAACATACAGGAAATTGTGTTTTCTGCAGCTCTTCTTGCCACTTTGAAGATATGTAGAGGATTGTGTATCTTGTGCTTGTGTTGCTTGTTTATGGCAGTGCAGAACTGTGCAGGCATGGCACACATGGCAGACAATGTCCTGTCCTGTGAGTGTTCGTAGGATTTCCAAAAGAAGCATAAATAATATGATAGTGATGATGTTAAGGGGTGGAGAAAGTCAGATGCTTGGAAGTTGACCTCTTCCTCCTAGTCCCCTTTGCATTTCATTTCTGCCCTGCCATGCATTACCAAAACTTCTCAAAAGACAATACAGTGGATGTTGGTGAGTTGTACACTGGGATACTTACTCATGGTGTACTGAGCTATGCATCACTCCCCCACCTCATACATTCCCTGATGCAGATTGTACAGTAACGGTTAGAAAAATAAGGCATGTGTAGGCTCTTCCTGTGTTTGTGTTCAGCGGAACATTACTCCATTTCCTGCTGCTCGGTTACTTCTGTCACATCTTCTAAAGGATAGTAGCTTGAAGGCCCAGGACTTCCTGGATGTTGCTGGTGAAGTGGGTGGTACACAAAAGGGGTCGTTCCTCCTCTAGGCTGGTAGAAGTTGGGCTCAGGTCCCGGAGCTTACTTGGACTTCAGATGACTTTCTCTCTGCTATTGTTACATAATTAAAATTTGACTAGTGGTGCATCATTGACAAAATATGCCTGTTAAGTATGCTGAAGAAAATGGAGAGGCCAGTGGTCTGAACCCAGAATTCAGAGCCATGAGAACCATATTCCTGATGGGATCTGGTTGTGGAGGATTAAGTCTGCTACTCACTGATGTTCTTTTTGTGACTGAGAATGGATGGGAACTGTGGGCTTTTGTGGTATTTCTTTCAGTGTGTGCTGTAATTGTGAACTATAGAAATAACACAGTGGCTACTTTTGCCCCTCAGTAGCATTGAATAGATGATGTATTTAATCTTGTAGTGATAGATTTTGACCAGCACTGTAGGATCCTGTTTTTCTGGGGGTTTTTAAACACCAGTTGTTTTATTCTGATTTTTTTTTCTTTTTTTCCTAGTCCAAAAATGACTGGTATTAACCTGCCCAAACTAGGCTAGCACATTCTGCTCAGACTGACAACTTTCTCCAGTTTATGCTAATCACTTTCCATCTCAGAATTGAAAGACTGGATTTAAATTTCGATTGCATATTTGTGACCTTCCTCCCCACTCTCCTTCTTAACTACCTGGTTTTTTTTGTTTTTGTTTTTTTTTCCTTTAAGGATTAAGGGCTGGTGGGTATCACATCATTATGTCTCTACATTTCTATCTGGAGTAATGTTAACATGGTAAGTTAAGTTCTCTCTTTACTCTGCTGAGGAATTTTCTCATTAACTGTTTTTAAACCCTTGTGAGACCTCTAGAGTGAGCTGGTATAAATGTGTCTGCACAGGCACTTGCTGCAGCTTTATATCTTACATGTTTTCTCTGGAGTGACATTTGGAAAGATAAATATAGCACTACAATCCTGGAGAGTTCACAGTTACAGCTCCATTAAAACACCTCTGTTTCGGTAATGGGGACAGCAAAATATCTGAATCTCCCTGATTTGCTGCTCTAATATAAATACCCTCCCTCTCTACGTAAAGAACAGATAGGTCTCTCTATAGAGACAATAAATTATGTGAACTCGATTCAATAAATGTTTGGGGTATTTTACCTGTTTAAAATCTGGGTTCAGCAAAAGGAAAATAACATCCAAACTTGTGATTTTTTTTTTTTTTTTGGTGTGTGTGTTTGGTTTAATTTTTATCCCTCGGATGATTTGCGCAAAACATTTATCCATTATTTTATGTAATGAACAAAACCTTGATCTAAATTGTCTCACTTTTTAAAATATTTTCTTATATATGCTGGATATAAAAATCCTACTTTGGTCATCATTTAACTTCTTTATTAAAACCACAGGAACAGAAATAGTTATTATTGAAACAATTGAAAAATTACTTCCTACCGAAAGAGCGCACACTTGTTTTGTTTTGTCTTTTGTTTTTTGCAAATATTGTTGAATGATTTCATCATTTGCTATAGAAGATTGCCATTTAATGAACAAGAAAAGGCTACAATCTGTGTTAGAGAAAAGAACCCAGGGAAACCCCATGAAATAAGTTGACGACAACCTAGTGTTGTGATGTTTAGAGATTTACTGACATCATAAGCTTTCTCATATGCTTTGCAACAATCTGAGATCTGCAGCTTGGTAGATTGTCCCACTGGATAACAAAAACAATTGCTTATATTGTTCACTGATGGGATCAAACTTGACTGAAATAAGGAAAAGGAAATTCATGCTATTTTAATGTTAAACTAAAAGTGTGAATCTCTTCTTTTTTGCACCCCTCTGTATCAGGCCAGATGGACTCATGTATCAAATGTTTCGCAATCAATTTTTAGCGTTTTCAATTTTTCAGAGTAAGTATGTCTTACCTTGCTAATTCTTGTATAAAATATGAATCCTCTATGCTTCTGCTTTGTGAATACTGAAGTTCCTAGAAAATCATTCATATAACCTACAGGCTTGTCTGCAGTTGAAACATTTTTAGGGCAGGGGTGGACAATAAGTGGCCTGTGGGCCAGATGTGTTTGCCAGAGTTTGTGCTGGCGAGGCTCCAGATGCTTTGTTTACCTGCATGTACACAGGTATGGCCACTTGCAGCTCCTAGTAGCCACTGTTCACCATTCCTGTCCAATGGGAGATGTAGGTGGCAGTAACTGAAGATGAGCGGGTAAACAAAGTACTGTATCTGGTGCCCCTCTTCTCCCCCACACCCCGTGGTTCACCATGTCCCATCCAGAAGCCACTTATATCCCACCTCTGCTTTAGGGACACTATTTTAGCTCTTTACTGTAGATGCTAGATGTGCCAGCAAGAGTTGGGAGCTAGGTGGTTGGAAGAATTCTTCTATTGACCTAGCACTGTGTAAATCAAGGGGTTGTATCAGCTTAGCTACATTGGACAGGAGTATGGATTTTTCTCCTCTTTTGAGTCAAGTGGCTGGGTCAACATGACTTTTTAGTTTGAAGCTGGCCTGAGTTAGCTGTTAGCAATTAATTAACTCTTCTTAATGTTTGTGCTAGAGTAGACAGTGCAACATGATTTTGTTTTCTCCTCCTCAGTCCCAGCTAAAATGAATAATTCCCTTGTATTCCAGGCTGTGTACAGTTCCTACAATATTATTATCAAAGTGGCTGCCTTTACAGACTCCGTGCATTAGGGAAAAGAAACCACTTGGATCTTACAGTAGGTACGTGTTTTTGTAAACCCTAATCTAGTTTTACAAAAACCATTTCAGTTGCATTCAGCAGCTAAATGACTTCAAATGTGATTTCTCAAAAACCCTTCCATCAAATATAGTTTCAGCCTTCCAGATTTGGGACACTCTGGTTTGGCCACATCCACGGACCAAAGAGTCCCAGGGATTGTGGCTGGGGATCCCTGGCAGGGTCAGCAGCAGTGGGCCTGGGGCGGCTGGGGATCCCTGCCCAGGCTGGCAGCAGGGAGGAGAAGCAGGCTGGGAAGCCAGTGGCAGAGGACCTCTCCTGGTCCGGCAAAATCCTTTGTTCAGAACTGGTCAGGTCCTGAGGGTGCTGCACCAGGGAGGTTCATCCTGTATCTCCCAGCCAGGGCAGCCAGCGCGTGGGCAGGCACTGGGCAGTGCAGGGCCCAAAGCAACCGCCTTGCTCTGTTTGTCCTAAGGGCAGGCCTGCCTATCCCGACCCCCACCTCCTTCCTCCATTCCTACACCCCCATCCTTCCCTAACCGCTACTCACCCCCACACTGCCCACCCCTGCCTCCATTCCTATATCCCCCTCACCCCCCCATCCCCCTTCACTGCACTACCCATCCCCACATGCACCCTGCCCCCTCCCACGAATTCGTTGAGCTGCACACCTCTCTCCCCCCCCCCTCCCACCGGAGCTCTGAAGGGCCAGGCAGCACCGCTCCGGCCCAGCCTTTCCGCATGGGTCTGTTGGGGCAGCTTTGCTCCATGGGGAGCCCAGGTTGCCCAGAGTGCAGAGCGGCCACTCTGGAGAGCTGGGGAAGCAGCTGGGGTGCAAGAGCTGCCCAGCTCACAGTGGGCCCGGGAGAACTTGGCCCTCATGCTCTTTGGCTGGGCCACACAGAGCCAAGCCGCACAGCAGCTGCCGATAGTGGGGCCCAGAGGCAGGTGGATGCTGCTCCAGGGGGCACGCCTGAGCAAGGGGCCTGGCCCAGGTCACCAGCAAACAGTGGAGCCTCTTGCTCGGGGAGACCTGCAGTGCAGCCCCCAAGCGCTGTGGCAGGGGCCGAGCTGCGCAGCTTTGCTCTGTATGGCCAGGTGGGTGGGCCAGGCAGGTTGCGGGTGGAGCCCAAAGGCAGGTGGACACTGGTCCATGGGACCCATGGAGATGGAGTCACTTCCCCCCTCCTCTTCCTTTCAATGGAGTGGTTATGTGGTCATCCCGCAGGAAAAGTTATATATGGGGGGGAGAGAGGCCGTAAGATAGTTGGGGAGAGAGAGGCATCCAGAGTGTTTTACCCAAAATGCAGAGCTTCTTGTCTTGGACATCATATTTGAAGACCTAGAAATTAATAACAGATGGTGATGGTGCAGGAGAGTGGTGGGACTAAGTTGGTCTGTAGGTGCTAATTTACTTGTTTCCTCATGTTCTGGACTTGCAGAAGGATTTCAGTCTTGGATGTGGCGAGGGCTGACCTTCCTTCTTCCCTTCCTGTTCTTTGGGCATGTAAGTTGGAGAACCTAGCTTCTATACATTTCACTGATTTGTTTAGTTTGCCCACAAAAAGCAGGGACTGTTAGAGGAGTTAGTCCTGTAATTGTAGCAAGTTGTCATTTGGATCACAGTCTGCATATGGTGACTGTGTTCCAGAGGTGCAAATTGACAATTTTTTAGAGATGTGATTTAATAATCTTCAGCAGCACACCAATGAAATAGTTTTAAAGCTTCTCTGCATAATTAAAGGGGCAGAGGAGCTGGTGCCAATTGTAACCTAAGATCCTGTAGACTAACACAGAAAATTCAGAAACTGAGGGGATGTACCTGGGGTTGGCAAACGCCCATTAAGTGGCTCCATTACCACTTGAATGGCACTTTCACAGGTTCCGTGTTCTGCTAATTGCCCTGGCAGGTTTTTTCACTTTTAGGTTAACTAGGTCCTCTTAGGAGGAAGCAGAGCCACAGAAAAGGACTAGGAAGAGGTAGGTGGGTGGACATTAAGACCCAGTGAAGCAGCAACTATGGATCTACTACCATCAGTGATGAGATAAAGATCCTCTTCTGGCACTATCCTGTACAGAATGAATAAGTGACCATCCTGTTTACAGCTCAAGACTCTAAGGTTACAACTGCTCTGCAGGGTTTTGACGCAAAAAGTCTTTTGTGGAAGAGTTCTTGTGCAAAAACTTCTTGCACAAAAACGCATCCACACCTCAAAGCACATCACTTTTGCAATGATCTGTTGCGCAAGAAAGCTCTGATTTGCCATTCACAGAATGACCATCAGTGTACCTGTGCTTTTTCGGATAAGCTCTTTTTGCACAAGAAACCCCTGCGGAGCGTCCACATGTGCCTTTTTGCACAAGAGCTGTAGCGCAAAAACAAGTTATTCCTCGTAGGAGGAGGAGGCATATCTACACTGTAAAAAGTCCTCTGTTCTGCTGATTGACTGTAGATTTTCTTGCACTTGAGGTGTGGAAGCTCCACAGGTTTTTGCGCAAAAATGGCTGTTTTTGCACAAAAACCTTGAAGTGTAGACATAGCCTAAAAGGATCCTGCCTAAAGTATCTTGCCCAAAAGCTAGAAGGGCATTCAACCAGAGCATACTTGGATCCCGTGACGTTTGTGGTGTTTCTGTTATGAGCATCAATGCATGCACTAGATGCTATGTAATTATGGTGGCATCCAGGGAAGATATCAGTGTGGGGAAAAGCGATCTTCCAATCCCTTTACTGACGGGATTTCCAGCTTCACCTCCATTGATAACTGGGAAGTACATACAGTGTAATGGACACATGCACTTACAAGAAAATTAGGTATTGTTTTTCTTTTTTAACTCTTCTTCCAGATGTGTTACCTACATCCATTTTACAACCCACCCTTCTTCCCTTAATAATGCATGACTTTCACTGGAAGCCTAGTGAGGAGGAAGGTGAAACAGTTGTGCCCTTTATATTGTGAGATTAAATATAGCTTATACCAGGGCAAATACAGGGTTTGCCCCATGTGTACTACTAAGGAAAACTCTCTCACCTGTGCACAAGACCTGCACGCACCTAAAGTGTAAGGTGGGTTTTGCCCACAGAAGCTCGTATTATGTATAACACACACACACACACACACACACACACACACACACACACACACACACACACACACACACACACACACACACACACACACAGTTGTAGACTAACAGAGCTACTCTCTAAGATTTATTTTTATCAAGCACTTTTAGCTCTCAAATTTACTCATTCTTCCAGTCTCCCTTAATCCACTTTATGACTTTCTGAGTATAAATTTCCATCTTCCCCACCCCGGCTTCATGTTAAGTTGGTGGTTAGGAGTATTTAGAGTACGTCTACACTACAGAACAAAGTCGGATTAAGATATGCAACTTCAGCTACATTCATTGTGTAGCTGAAGTCAAAGTACTTTAACTTGGCTTTTGGCACTGTCTGTACTGCAGGAAGTTGAAGGAGAACACTCTTCCTTTGACTTCCCTTAATCCTCGTGGAAGCAGGGCTACTGGCATCGACCAGAGTGCCCCTCTCAGTTCGAATTAGACTATCTTTACTAGTACTGCTAATTTGAACCCTGGAAGAATCGACAGTGGTAGCTTTGATCTTCCTCTGTGGTGTAGATGTACCCATAATGCCTGTGGGTCATAGAGACAAGAGGATATTTGATCTATGCCAGCTACTAGCAAACTTTAAAAACCTGTATAACATACATAACAATATAATAGTTCATGCACCTCATTTTCAAAGCCCTGTTTGACACCACACGTAGATTTCTGCCCATGTTCTTTCCTCCTCTCTCTACAACTGCTTGTGTTCCTCCTAAATGTGTTTTTTTGTAACCTCCTGCTCAGAGCTATATCCTCTTCTATGCTGCTCTTCATGCTTTGTTCCTTCCAGTTTTTGTACACCATGTGACCACACTGCTTTGCTGAAATTTCACCTTCTAAAGAGATTTTTCCATGGAGCATTTCAACAGTAATTCACTGACATAAGTGTGTAATTGAAAATAGTAGATACGAACTACACTTCCGTTTGTGACTGGACCTTCATGTAGTTATCCACTATATTACAGATTTGTCTTGTACTGTCTGTGTCCAATTAAAGCAGCAATCCTTCATCCTTTACTTGAGCAACCTCTGAAGTCCCCTAAAGAATTCAGACTCAGGCTCTTAGACTCTCTGGGACAGGATCATATCTTCCTTTGTACTGCAAAGTTCATTGTATGTGACATGAACACATACACAATGACCTGGTGTTACTGGGTGCAATATAATATTTTAAATTAATTTTAAAAAAGAGATTAATGTACAAGTATTCCTTCCCTCTTGCACACACAGCTATAACTGGAAAATCTTCCTAAGAAGAACTAATTATTCCTGATTTGTTTTAAAAGGGGTGTTCGGTGTTGCTCTGCCACTGTGATTTACTTAAGACTAATTTCTACAACAAAATCAAACACTTGAAAATATTTTAATTTTGCTGAAAAATTAAATCTTACTGATTTTATTTTTGATCAGCCCTGTCACCTACAAGGAATGCACCAGTAAACGAACATCATATAATAGAATGCATATGTGCATAAAAAGCCTGAGTCACATTAATGTGCTGATTTGTTGAAGATCCAGACTTAAATATAAATGTCTATGCAATGTTATACTCCTTTATGCTCAGTAACAGAAGTTTTACCTGCACCTCATACATAGTAGTGGCTTCCAAAATTTAATTGATTTTTTTTTTTCCTCTTGCCCAAGGACACAGTGCATCCCAAATTGGTTTAAACGCTGTTAAATTTCAAACACTGTTTTTATTATATTTATTTCTCTCTACTCTTAGTTTTGGCAGCTCTATAATGCAATCACACTTTTTGGACTGTCTAGGCATAAGGAATGTAAAGAATGGCAGGTAAGTAACATCAGAATTCTTGTTTTCTTGCAAATAAAGTTCAGATATTGATCCAAATGCCTTAGTCTGAAAACGGGCCTAGAATTTGTCAGAATAAAGTGAGTTGTATCTGTTGAATATAATACCAAACAGTTGGTAGGTATAAATAATATGACCGTGTACACTTTGTTAGCATATCTTTAAGGTTCTTAACACTTTTCTGCTTAGCATTCCTCATTGTCAACAACACGTACACATCTAGAATTCAATTGTTTTTGTATTGATCTTGATATAGAATGTGAATTGCTTAGTAAGCTGGACTCAGGCAAACAATATGCATTGTGCTATAGCTAAGTAGAAATGTATACATCCAGGAACAAAGCATGTAGGCCATGCTTAAGTACAGGGACACTTTATCCTGGGAAGCAGTGACTCTGGAAAAACATGAGGATAGTGGTGGACAGTCCTTTGAACATGAGCTTCCAATGTGACTCTGTGGCCGAAAAAAGCTAATGCAGTCCTGAGAGAATAAGTAGTGGAATCTTGAGTAGGTGTAGAGTAGGTTTTTTTCCTACCTCTGTTTTGACCCGGGTGTATCCGCTGCAGGAGCACTGTGCCTAGTTCTGGTGCCCATAGTTCAAGAAGGCCGTTGAAGCAGGTTCAGAGAAGAACCAAAAGAACAATTAAAGGGTTAGAAAACTTGCCTTATGGTGATAGACTGAAGGAGCTCAATCTGTAGTTTAATGAAGGGGACATGACTTGATTAGAGTCTAAAAGTACTTACATAGGGAACAAATATTTGATAATGGGCTCTTCAGACTAGCAGTGAAAGGTCTAATGTGAGCCACTGGCTAGAAGTTTGAAACTAAACAAATTCAGGCACGATTTTTTTTTAACAGTGGTTAACAGCTGGAACAAATTTTCAAGATCATGGTGGATTCTCTACCATTAGCAATCTTTAAATCAAGATTGGGCATTTTTTCTAAGAGATATACTCTTGTTCAAAAGGAATTATATGTGGGGAGTTCTTTGGGCTGTGATACACAGAGAGGTTAGACCTTTTGATATATTCTGACCTTTGAATCCAAATTAAATCTGAAGGAGTGATAGATGAAACTCCATTACACACCCGAAAGGGCAGGAAATTTCATGTGTATGTATGTTTTTAATTCAGCAGACTTTATGCCTTAGCTCTCATCATACAATCGAGCAATCAGCTTTCCTTCTTCATACAAAAGCAGGGATGCACCCTCCAGTGTTAGCTTAATATCTCCTCGTTATGCATGTAGTTCCTCTCATATAAATGAATGTTCCTACATGCCGAAACTTGGGACCAAATATAGCCCTGGCATAAGCATGAGCAACCCCACTTAATTCAGCGTAGTTAAACTGGCCCATGACATCTCCAATACACTAAAATAATGTAAAATAATTTTTGTATGAATGTAATAAACTGCCTGATGTTAAAGGCAGTAAAATCCCATTTAAATGATCATGATAGAAGTATATACCTGTTATTGAACACCTTTTAACCCTGAAGCCACTTGTTATTGTTCTGTATATTGGCTAGGATCTTCTCCCTGAATGTGTCCATCGCCTCTACTACTGCTGACAGATTCTTTAAGATTTGCTATGGCGATGTGGCAGAGACGAGGACAGTCCTGCACAATCAGTGCACAATCTGACCCATGAGATTTGGTTGCCTCTTTAAATGTACTTACTGAAGGACAAATACTGTTGGATCTAAAATAGGACAATAGAAGTCAGCCAATATATCAATCAGACTTTGTCCTATTGCGTGGAAAGACTATAAACCTTTTTCATAGACTCCATGCTGAAGAGAAGACCTGTCATTTTGCATACAGCTTTCATATATAGCAAAGGTAGGAAAGCTTTTTTGGGTTGGGGGCT